AGCAATATTTGTGCAGCGCGATTCACTAACCCTGTAATTTGTTTCTTGCGTTATTATCTGTTAGATATTTGCAGAACGCGCCCTTTTGAATCCAGGCGGCCGCTACGACCAGAATTCAAAGGTAAATTTTGTTATTTTTGTCGATTCCCTGATAACATATTGGTTTTCGATACAATCAAATTGTAATTATTACATTTGCTTGGTATTCACGGTTATAGCTCTGTTGCTTTTGCGGAAGCCTGTTTTGAAATTAATATGTTCTCCGACTACGTGTTGATCCCATTTTACTCAAAATTATTGACATAGCGGATCTATATTTATCACAGTGACGTATTTGTAATATTTTTGAATCATTTGATTAAATCACCATCGATTGTGACGTCAGTTATTGTGCATGCTCTATTCCTATCAAGACACTGTGCTGAAATATAAACACTAAACAGTCCACACTCAGAGTATTGATAGGTATAAGAGGGGATTTTGCCCGAACAACCTTCGAAGCAACAGAATGGTGTAGGGAACACTTCTAACGGAGAAGTTCTCTTCACAAGAAAAACAGAGGTAGATAATTTTTGTACTCTCCTGGTAATACAGAAACACCTCCCATTTTCCGAGTCAAAAAAGAGACAAGAACCAGACTCTCCACAACCGTAGCACTTCTTAATCATGTGCCTTGCTTACACGGACTCGATGCGTACAACTCCCACAGCCGTTCTGGAGGCCCTTTTGGGTCTGCCTCGACTAGATCTCCACTCTGACATTGCGTCTGAAAAATAAGGGATTGTTGAATATCAGAAGTATTGAGGTGGGCCACTTTCGAATTCTGGGGGAGGCTATTAAGCGGTTGCCTATCCTAGAAGGGCGATCGGTCTCACTCGTATTCATATTAGGGAAACTATCATACGTTCCTTGATCAGGGTGTCATCCCAACTAGATATATTCATCTTCACTAAAACTATGGACAATGACGACATCTTGGATGATACTATGTTTGTAAAATTTGAGCCTAAACTACTCATTTTGAAAAATGTAGCAAAAAAACTTGCCCTGCAGAAGTTATAATACCTATTCCATTCAAAGCTATAGGTAAAATATTTGTTTTTCTGCAAATTTCAATAAACTACAAAATGATCTCTGTAATCCCGACGTTAAAGTTTAACAGTACTTTACCGCATATATGCGTCTATTTATTAATCACAAATAAACCCTTATTTGAACAGGCTATACATTTGAACGCAATGTATATTTTTATTTGTATGAGCTGTTTATTTATCAGTGTGGATGAAAAAATACTTCTAAAACATTTTTGTTTGTTTATTTGTCAAAAAATTATTCCCTATTCCAACTGATCTAAATATTAGTTTAGTTTTGTTTAAGCTTAATTAATTGAAACAGTAAATATTAATATTCGTGTGCGGGCAATTGCCATTCGTTCCCAGATAATTCGCACCGAAATAATTTAAACCCAGATGATTCCCACACGAACAATTTTCTTCCGGGTGATTCACTCTCGGGGTTTCGTTCTCAGATAATCCCCGAATGTTGATATTGATGTGTTTTACGTAGTGTGGACGATTTCTAGTTTTTTCTTAAATAGTGGCATTCTAATTTGGGTATTTTCTTGGAAATTTGCGTTCAGAAGAAATAAAGAACAATCGTTATTAAATGCTGTTTAGAAATCGGCATTTTAGAAAAAATTACAAATTCAAAAAACTGCACTTTCTGAATGTAGACACAGCAGAATAATTGACAAATTACGGCTGTTATTTTATAATGCATCGTGTTTCATTTGTTTAATTTTCCAAGGCCTACCTAAAAGTGTAGGGTCCTTTTCCAAACAATCTTTCGCGCCATCGACAAATACCGGAAATACGTCAAATAAGATACAATTTAAGCATTTTTATTAATTAATTAATTAATCTCATTTTCCCAATATTTGAGGTTAGGAACGATATTTTGAAAAACGGTTTTCACTGGCCTCTTTGGGTGTTCTTTGGCTACTTTTTCATAAAGCAAATCATTCTATTTGATTTTTTTGATTTTTTTAGGATATTGGATCATAGTGTCAAAACTAGCCCCCTGGCAGAGAAGGATTCAACTAAATTAACTTTATTTTGGTTGATTCTTGTTGCCCAAGAAATGCTTTTTTTTCGATGCCAAATTTGTTACAATTAGTCAAACGGTTAAGAAGTTAAAGCAGGTTATTGTAAAAACAATTGAACGCCCCACACCATCTTTGTTTTTGAAATAACTGAGTTTTGTTTTTACGAAAATGATAGATAAAAAGGTTCTCTTTAAAATTGTGAAAAAAGAATGTTTAGTTTATTATGCGAAATTTAAAGAAAATGCAATTTTAAAATTTAAGATGGCAGTTACGCCCTCTGGTGGTCATTTTTAGAACTTGAAAATATTTTCCAGCGATTCTTCATGATCGATTTACCCAATAATTTTTTTTACCCCTAAGTCATACGACGAACAGTTCCCCAGATATGGTCGATGAACCGTCTTATTGGGTCACCTGGTACATGAGAAAATAAGCCTGGGCATTAAGGCGATATTTATGTCGAGGGCGACAGAGCCCGAGGGCCTCCGGCCCGAGGGATTGTAAGTCGTCCGGGGGTTAAATATCGAGTAATGCCTGAGGTGCATACAAAATTTTATTTTTCATCGTTCCAAATAATGCATTTCCCATATACACATGTAACGATTATACATTAGTGCTTCATATCAAGTAGCATCTTTTTTTATTACATAATATAACTTCGTCAATATCCGTTTGAGGGCATAATGAAATGACAATCCATTATGCGCTCTCATTATGCCCTCGGGTGTCATAGACTGCTTTATATATCTCATATGACAGATATAATTGGCATATAATAGGCAAATGAAAAATAAAAATAAAAATTACCCCCAAGTACCTTTAATATGATTTTAGATTTCCATTTTTTTTATTATAGTACTTATCTTTTAATAAACGCATATTAGCATTACACATTTGAACCTTTGAACATTTGCTATTTCTGTTTAATAAAGATGAAAAATGTATTGTGATTTTTTATGTTTTATGAAGGTTTTCATTTTATGTATATTTTGAGAGGAAGTTGTAACGTCTTATCTAAATTCAAAATTTATACTTGAAATTCTTACGCCATCTAGGTATGTCCTTTGTAAACCCATTTAGTTAAAAGGTAAGTTATTTCTATAGCACACTTGTTATTACCTTAGTTCTTTATTTTCGCCGCTAGAGGCCATCTGTTTTCTCGTTCCTTTCGTTCAGAGACGATCTGCCCTTTATATCGGTTAAGAGCAAATTTACGCCATTACGTTTTACTCGACTTATTATTATTGTTAGGGCTCTGGGCTTAACCTAGCGGTTCACTCTTAGTCCTTTTTTTATTATTACATGCCCTATATTTATAGATTTATAAAATTATCAATATTTATATCGTCCTGGGAACATTTGTTGTAGACTGTAAATAGAGAACTAGTCAAATGTGCGTCAGAGGCTCCTTTGGAAACTAAAAGTGTCGCTTGAATTTTTCAACGGCTCCCGGTATATTCAGCAGCGGATTATGAAGCGAGCTGGTGGCGCTCCCATTTACTTCTTTTATCTTCAGTCGACTTGAAGCTTGTAGTAGGTTCCGACCAACGTGGAACCCATCTCGTCTTTTCTGAGCTAGTGGCAGCGGTGCGCCCTTCTGAGCTCGGAGACGTGGCGATCCGTTAGTTCAAAAGTAAAATATTTTATTCCGTGAGATAACGTTTGTGCATAAAGGATTTCGATACCGCCGAATAATAATTAGTATACTTTTTGTGATAATTTTGTCGTGTGTGCTCAAAGTGCATGTGACAACTTCTTTACGTAAATGAACAGATCTTCTTTCTTATTGATTTCTGATGGCACGGTAGCATGTATGATTCGGTTAGGCGCTCTGGAAAATTTCGTTAGGTGATTTATCACGACTAGGTGAATTTGAGCATTCTTAAATTAGATCATTTCAAGGGTGAAGTTCAGTATTAAAGTTCATTACTTGACGCTAGCAACTCTTGCTTAATATCTTACAATTACAAAAAGAAAATATGTCACGAACCGTTTCCTAATTTTGCGATTTGTAAAATTCACTTCATCATAAAACTAATTGCGATTTCATTAAGTAAATTACGAGTGGAGAACAAGGAACAAGAAAAAAAAACATTATCTTTACACTGTTCGTGTTCTTTTAGTTATTTAAATAGTAATGATATTGATGACACGAGCCAAGCCACTTGAACAAACTTTTAATTAATAAATTGTTTTTCGGTTTTTATGAACTCAAGTTTTAAGTACTTTCAATTTTATGCAGTCATTAAATCCAGTTATTGACATAACGATGTGAAAACTCATTATGAGACTTCACGAAGCAACTTTTGTCGTTAGAGTACTCTTTTAATTAGCTTTCTGTTTTTGTTGCAAAATGCATAGAAGGTGTGTGCTTAGTACCAAGTGCATTTATCTATACTTGCGCACACATGAATGGGGTGTGAAATTTAAAATATTTGGTTTTCGGCTTATAATGTGTCGTTATAAGGTAATCAATAACTAACATCTTCCTTATAGGGTGGTTGTAAACTTGTAAGCCTAATTGTTATACCAATCCAGGTAAGTTTGGACATTATAACGTTCTTTTGCACTAACCGATTAAACTTGTCAAGGGGATTTGAAATTCCGACTTTGGATGAACGGAGTCCAAGTTCTGTCTAAAAGCCATTGTTCCATTGACAAATGGGTCAAGGAACCTACCTCGTATGGTCCAGGAACTAATCGGTCCATAGAACTTGAACCTCGATCATCCATCGACTGAGGACTTGAGACAAAGTGAAACCTTTGATGTCAGCCAATCAGAAAACAGGTGGCTAGACGCTATAGTCAACAACCATGGGAATTATCATCCTTGGTTGTAAAGCTTGGTTCCAAGAACCGTAACACCATCAAACTAGTATAAATGCTAAGTACATACCCACGACATTAAGAACGATAAAGTGACTCATCTTTGGTTCCGTGCTGACTTGACACTCATATTGACCAGCATCTCGGGCTTGAACGTATTTAACCTGCAACGTCCACGTATCCGTGGCCTCCACCAGAAACGCCTGAAACCTCTCATCGGCGATGAAGGTGTACCGATCCACGGTTAAAATATGGGCATCTCTTCTTCTGATCCACGACACAGACTTATTACCAAGCTGTTTGACACGGCACGGCAGGTAAGCGTGCGTTCCCAGCTGTGTGGTAATGTTTGCTGTCGTTGTTGGATCAAAATATGGACCGGTGTATAAACCAGTAAATCGTTTTACCGGATGCGACGCCTCTCCTCTTAGGAAAACTGTAACAAAAAAGATTTAATTAAATAAAGGAAATAAAATTGCTTTCGTCGTTTGTATTGATATTACAAGTGTAAATAAAGCTCTCCTGCTAATTAAATGAATGAAATGATTATAAAGAAATGTTTTTATGGTTAACTAGCACGTAAATCAGCAATTATAACAGTGTTCAAGCTGAACATCTTTTATTTAAACCACCCAGACAACGATCAATTTTATTACTGGTATAAATATTTCAGTGATTTTTTAGGGTAGAATTTATGTAGGGGGATAAAGTTTTAATTGGTCTTAAATTATCATAATAAGTGCAAGTTCGTGAGCTAAAGTTGTATGTAGACACAAGGAGTTATGGAAAAACATCGCTACTAATTCTCGGTTTCAAGGCGGAACGTTTATGTAAGCCGCATAATAAGTTGACGGCCCTAAATACACGAAAGATACATAATTAGGTACATCACCGCGGATAAAAAAAATATATTTCATAGATTAAGAGCGTAAATGAAAGAACGTGTGCAGCTTACGACTTCCTTACCATCTCGTTTTAATGGAAATTCGATAATCCCCATTTTTATAAGATTGAGCTTAAAGTACAGATGCCGTTGTAGCCTCACCCCAGAACGCTATTCAGCTGAGGAACGGCATTTTAAATTCGTTAAGTAGCTGTGTGGTAACGTTTTCGCTACACAATTGATCGACCACAAACGTTAGTCGCTCTTTACCTCAAATGAACACGTTAATGTAACTTCCAGACAAACGGAAATAAGAAATTATGCGAAAAGACGAATATTTTTAATAGCGATCAATATCTCTGTAGAACCGATAAAGCGAAAATGAGGTTATATCATTTCATAGCATCAATCAAAAATTTTCATTAACACACTTGACATAATCCTTGGACACGAAAATAAAAATTTGACATGAAAACTATCCGCGTCGCAGAGTGGACTCATATAAACACACGACTAATTGATTAACAATGACATCTCTGACAAGGATAAGAGCTTACAAAGCTTGTTTCAGCATATTGCCCCGCACGCAGGCGGGCGATTATTAAACTAATAAATTATTTATTTGTTTTTATAAATATTTTCACATAAACAGGGTGACTGCCCGTAAAAAAACAAATGGAGGCGCTCTAAACAGTCTCGCAACTAGCAGAAGCCTCATTTTATTTTTGTCTCTGATGTTTAAGTAAACACCACTTCCACCATAAACAAATCTCCTTTAAGAATATTCGAATAAAACGTTCCGACTTCCCCAATTTGAAACGCGCAATTTTTTGTAACAACTGTGTCATCGTTATCAGCATCAGAACAAGTATAAATCCCGTCTAACAATCAGAGCTGGGCAGTATTCGATTTTGTAAATACTTTTTAGTATTCAAATCTTTTAAAGTATTCAAATACGTTGTAATTAAATACTTTTATGGAAGCAGTATTTGTTTTTGTAACTCAAATACTTTCACAAATATTTAGTATTCGAATACTTCGAATATTCCAAAGTATTTGGATACTTCGTAAAGTATTCGAATACTTCGCAAGGTACTTATTTGAATACTTCGAGAAGTATTCGAATACTTCGCATAGCATTTGAATACTTAACCTTCCTTTTTTACCAAAAATCGACTGCACCAAAATTTCTCGGGAAACCACTTTTTTTTATTAATTTTGGTGCGTAGAATCCAAAACAATTCGTACTTTTTCGATCAGACTTCTCAATCAAAAGTTATAGACTAGAAACCAATTTCGAAAGAAAATTAAAAGGGCTGTAACTTTTGAACTAGTAGCCCAATCTTGGAACTGTTTGAAATTATGGATTCTACAGGCCACATTCTATAAGAGAATTTTTTTTCCGGGTCGATCTGAGACAATTTTTTTTTCGGGGCTCAAAAAAAGGCAGTGTATAACCTTCCTTTTTTACCAAAAATCGACTAAACCAAAATTTCTCGGGAAAACACTTTTTCTTATTAATTTGGGTGCGTAGAATCCAAATCAATTCGTACTTTTTCGAACAGACTTCTCAATCAAAAGTTATAGACTAGAAACCAATTTCGAAAAAAAATTCAAAGGGCTGTAACTTTTGAACTAGTAGCCGAATCTTGGAACTGTTTGAAATTATGGATTCTACAGGCCACATTCTATAAGAAATTTTTTTTCCGGGTCGATCTGAGACAATTTTTTTTTCGGGGCTCAAAAAAAGGCAGTGTATAACCTTCTTTTTTTACCAAAAATCGACTGCACCAAAATTTCTCGGGAAAACACTTTTTCTTATTAATTTTGGTGCGTAGAATCCAAAACAATTCGTACTTTTTGGATCAGATTTCTCAATCAAAAGTTATAGACTAGAAACCAATTTCGAAAGAAAATTCAAAGGGCTGTAACTTTTGAACTACTAGCTCAATCTTGGAACTGTTTGAAATTATGGATTCTCTCAAAAAAACGCAGTACTTTTAAGTTATTTAAGTATTTGAGAACAATTTAGAAATGTTTAGGGAAAGTTTTGAAAGTATTCGAATACTTTTGAAAGTATTGGAATACATTCTAAAGTATTTGAATACTTTTCAATGTATCTGTATCTACTATTCGCTTGTGCTGGACGTAAAAGTATTTAGTATTCAAATACCTTTGATTTGTGTAAAGTATTTACTATTTAGTATTCAAATACTTTTTGAAAGTATTCTGCCCAGCTCTGCTAACAATAAAGCTTCTTATCGCAACGACCAGATGTCTCCTTTTTTAAATATCGCAAACTTGATGAACAATAACAAACCTACATACAAAATCAAAACGAAAACATTGCGAATTTAACAAAATTACTAAAAGGATAGGCAAACACTGTGATACAAATAAAAGTAAAATAAAGTAACTTTGTTTATTCGTAAGTAACCCACCCGATCTGCACTTAACATTGAAATATTCTCATATGGAGGATGTCCCGTGATTATTTTTGGGGTTTAGGCCGATATTTTAACTACCGTAAAACATAACCATCAGAAACTTCCCAAAATGAAAAATAATTGACGTCGTCCAGGTGGGGCTGGACATACAAAAATATGAGCCGAAGGTTCTCAGGAAAAAAAAATTGTTATAGGGGTCGAACATTTTCAATAGTGGTAGCCTTTTCTTTGGAAATGCTCACCATTTTTGCATAAAAGGGTGTATAGTCTCACAAACACGATTTTATGAAATAAGACTACTCTTCCTTCTCAGATCACTTGCACTCTGTGTTTTTTTTACTGCTTTAGGACTGTCGACCAATTGAGTCAACGTATTTTGGAATTTTTCCGCTTTCTGTAAAGAAAGGAGCTGCACGTACCAACGCACGCTTGCCTTACCCTAGGGGAATTTTTCACTACGAACAAATCTTGGGAGATCACAACTCAGCTCCAAATAATACGGATTAAAGTATGTATTGTGACTTTTGTGTATTTTGTTGTAACCAAGAAAACTGTAAGTTATTGCGGTGAGTATGCAAAGAATTTCAAGTAGTAAACTGCGTTCCTATTTTTTATGCGTATTTTAACAGAACGTTCTTTAGTTTCGAATAAATTGTCGGAATATTATAGTTTCAGTTAATGCTGTGCTATGCCATTATAATCCCTATAATAATGAAATCAAAATTACCAAAATTAAGGTCTTTGTGCGTACATTTTTACTTTGTAGACATGTAGTCAATAACTGTTCAACAATTCAGTTTTACACAATGTAACTGAAGTAATGCTCGTAGTATTGATCGGGGATAAGAAAAGCCGTAGACAAAGTAGTGTCAGTGCATTCTCGCGGGATTAAATAATATTGTGCGATACAGTCAGGACATAAAAGAGACGAAGTCTGAATTAGTATCGAAATAGGGTAAGGGTTTTAAAAATGCGAACAAAGCAGGTAATTTAAAGATCCAAGGAAACCAACAGTTCAGTACTTAATTTTAATCCCTATTTAAATGGCGCAAACAAGTGCCTGTGTCTCCGTATTTACGTATTACGCATTTTTCTTTCTAAGTTGCCGTATAGAGAATAAACTGCAGTTCGGTACGCAGTTGAAGTGAACGAGTGTCACTCCATGATAACGAAAGGGTTTTCTTGGCCCATTTTGTAAGCGTCTTTGATAAGTGACACCCTGATCCTGATCAATTTTTAGAGATTTCGGTAAAGTTAGAATTTTGAGACACTTACGACTAGAACAACTTGAGCATAGCAGTACAGAAACTTCACAAAGTGTAAAAATTTATCGGGTTGAATTGGATTTCCAAATAAATGATACTCTTGGTGGAAATTCAAAGAATAAATTTATAAACCGTGGTTCAAATGTGGTGCGTGCTTGAAGTATTGTTCTCCTAAATGGGTTTCGGAAGCCCTTCGAAATGATCATATTTCGTTCTCTCAAGTAGTGCTATTGGGTTGCAGTTACTGGTTCAGCACTAGTTCGATCGCTTGCTCATGAGAAACGGTCAGCTGAATTTTGGTGAACACAACCTCCTTCGCTTATTCTTTCATAAATATAATGATACCAATTGGCACAATTAAAAAACAGGGCGTGTGTAAATTGTGCGTCGCACACAAGTAGCGTCGTAGGTTCTATTATTTTAAATTTCCTTTTTTTAGAAATTTCTGATTGTGGAAACTATGGCGCAAATCCAGTTACAGCCCTTTGAATTTTCTTTCGAAATTGGTTTTTAGTCTAACTTTTGATTGAGAAGTCTGAACGTAAATGTACGAATTGTTTTGGATTCTACGCACCAAAATTAATAAGAAAAAGTGTTTTCCAGAGAAATTTTGGTGCAGTCGATTTTTGGTGAAAAAGGAAGGTTATACACTGCCTTTTTTTGAGGCCCGAAAAAAAAATTATCTCAGATCGACCCGGAAAAAAAATGTTCTTATAGAATGTGGCCTGTAGAATCCATAATTTCAAACAGTTCTAAGTTTGGGCTACTAGTTCAAAAGTTACAGCCCTTTGAATTTTCTTTCGAAATTGGTTTCTAGTCTATAACTTTTGATTGAGAAGTC